GAGAGAGAGAGAGAAAATAAAAATAAAAAAGACGAGGAAAGAGAAAGAGGGTCGTCGTTTCGATCGCGTTCGTCTTACGGGAACGGGAACGATCTTAACGGTGTGTGGCGGATTTACGGAGGCGAAGTCGATCGAGTGGACGAGAAAGTTGGACGTCGAGACACGTTCCGTTAGCCAGCGTTCGTCGACGTAATTACGGAGGAAATCGGATTAATCGTAACGACAACGCGAAAGAAAACACGAAGTTGCCGTCCCCCTTTTCGCACACTTCTATCTCTCCACTTCCGCTCTTTCCTCTCTTTTTCCCCCCTCGTTGTTTTCCTAGCTCGATCTCCCGCCGAGTCCCTCCCAACCGGTGCCACGCCGGCGTCCTTACTTTTCTATTTATTTGCATTTGCAGGCAAGTCGGTTAAGTACCGTGATCTATATCCTGTCTGGGGATAGAATTCCATGGTCCGTGAACGAAAAACGACCAAGAAATCGTTTCCGGGACGCCCTTCGCCTCGCTCGTTAGCCGGAGAACGCGGACGCCTCCTCTTTCCTCTTTTTTCCTTTTCTTTTTCTTTTCTTTCTTTTTCCCCCGTCCCGCTACTTCTCTTTATCAAGAATATTATATCTCGAGCGGGATGCTCGAGTGGATCAGCGCGAGAAGTCACACGGAAGGGACGGCGGTTTCTCGCGAAATAACAGTTTTTAATTTACGCCAACTTGCTCGAGAGATTCGGGTAGAATACGATTCTAGTCTCTCTCTCTCTCTCTCTTTCTCCTTCGGAAAGGCTTCAATCCAACCCGCGGACTCGTCGTGGCCTAAAAACGCCGGTTCCAACTATTCAATTAAAGCAACGACCCTGTGTCAAGGGGATGACATTTCCTTTGCGTGCGCATTTCCACCACGCCGTCGTATCCCCTCAAGACTCTGCATTCAACTACGTACACGTGGTCAAGTTACGTGGGCGGCACTCTAATTATTCCGCGATAAAACAGCGTGGAATGTCACGAAGCGGCGGGGCTCTAATCTAATCATCGGTTAATTTCAAACTGGGCGACGAAAATTGCCGCGTCGAGCGACCATTCACTTTTCTTGCACGGGTTATCCTTCGATATTTCCGTCGAAGAGTAGTTGGCCACGTTGCTTTCCAAGTTCGTATATTTTCTTTCTCGACTCCGCGACGAATCGAGGCTTGTTTCCTCGAGCTGTAAACATCCTTCCACGTGTTGTCCACGTGAAATAGAGCGGCGCAAAATCGACCGTTGAAACAAGCGTTGGACGCACGTTGGACGAAGGAGGAGAGGCTTGGCAACTTGTTTATTTTCCTCTCCCCGTAATACCTTTGTTTCGATACTTTACAATCCCGTTTTCACGAGTATATCTCGCGGGAGGATAAAGCGTTATCGGCGATAATGGAGGCGAGGATCGTTTAATATATATTTCTTTGTGCTCGAACGCGCTTCTCACCCGTTTGAACAGGTTCGAAGTTAAGGAAGGGAAGTTGTTATGACACGGCCGCTTGAATTTCAAACGTTTTCGTCTCGCGCGCCAAGCGAATCCCTTTACGCGTCGTAAAGTAATTTAGTTTCAGAGCAAACAAAGAAAGCGCGCGTTCGACTCCCATTCGGAAAGTGATTTTACCGCGACTCCGCTTTCTTTCCTCCAATTTTGCCCGGGGGAAATTCTATTGAATTTCTCTATCGATCCCTCCACCTGCAAAAATAATCTCATTCGATACTCTTAATAAGAACTCCTGTTCTCGATGTTAGTCGATCGCGAGCTCGGAAAATATTCCAGAATAATCAAAAATCACTTGCCGATTCGTTTACTGCTTCGTGAATCGCGTGATTAATATCGCGACTTTGCGATGCATTTAACAGATTGGATGCAATTTCTTCTTGGCGTGGCAAACGCTCTCCTTCCCATCTCCTCGAATCCTCGGGCGAAAAACATTCATCCCCTGTTTTCATCTTTCGCGAGCACCTTTTTTGCCGGTGTATCGCTCGCAATCCACGGGATTCCGCAGCTGCAATTCCTTCCAGTTTTTACGACCCGCTCGAAAGGATGCGAGTCACCACCTATTTCTCGCGTACATCCCTCTCGTGCATCTCACGCCAGCGGTCTCGTCCAGTATCCCTCCCTACACCTCTCCACGAATCGACGAAAAGCCGGAACACGGAAACGAATGGCTGTAAATGGGAGGAGGAGGAGAAGGAACGCGTTAACCCGGAGAAAAGGTAGCCGAACGAAACAGGAAGATCTCGGATGTTCGAGTCAGGAGCATGTTGAAACGAGAAGTCGAAAATTGTAGGATTTTGATTGATCGTAAGATAAGTGTTTTAGTAACGTTTCATCGATTATTCGTCCGATTGTTAATTTTTTAGACAGCAGATAATTGTTGAACAGCCCTCTTCTATCGTTGTTATTAATTCTAACGCGGATGTTCAAAAATAAATCATCCCCGTTCGATTATTAATTAATCGACTCTGTTACATCCCACCTTCTTCTTCTTCTTCTTCTTCTTCTTTCCCTCAATCAACATGCAGAATATAATAAAAAACGAGGGAACGATGTTGATCGATTAAAAAGTTAATTCTCGATTAAATCGGGGAGAAACGGAATTCGAATATATCGTTGCACGAAATGCAAGGAAGCGCTGTGCCGGTCGTTTGATGATTAGCAGAAGCGGGCGGGGGCCCGGGTTGATGGGGTGTACCGAAGTTATAATGCAGCCGATGAAATTACGGCAAGGTCTCGGGGTAATTTCCATAGTAACTTCCGGCCAGGAATCGATGCAGAATGTCGGATGATCAAAGTTGAAACGGTGGCGGAGTGGAGCCCGCCGTTTCGACCCGTTCCTCGACCCGTTGATCGCCGCTTCGTCGGCGGGAATCGAACGATCGCTGGATCGCGACTCGAGAGTTTCGCCCGGACGGTGAAAATTCGAGAGAGAGAGAGAGAGAGACGGGGAGAAGAGTGGGCCGGAATGGATACAGGGGCTAACTTGGCCTTTATTCACGCGTGAACCGAGCGGAGCGGTTTATCAGAGATTGGAGATGAAATCGTTTTTTCGCGCGAACGAATCGCGACGCCGCCGTTTTTTCCCCAGATCGCGCGATTTCGCGATCGAACCAATCCACTCTCTGCCCCCCTCCCCCTTTTTTTCCCGTTCAATGGAAAACCACTTGCTGATTTAATGGAGCTACACGACCACGGGTCGAAATCGCGGCGGGATATGGGCGAGAAATGGGGGGGGGGGTAGGAGGGGGGAAAAAAGGAAAAAAAAAAAGGGAGCGCGTGGAAATTTTGTGGAACGGGCGTGTGAAAAATGTGAGAGGGAGGATGGCGCGCGGAGAAACGGTGGAAGAATTTTTAACGGCTAATTCGTTTCTCTTTCCCTTGTAATAACGGGGGTGGACCACCACGTTACTTCGAAACTTCAGAAATATGAAAACCGCGGCTCGAATTCCGTTAATTGCCGGCTTCTTGTTGGAATTCGAACTCCTGAGTTCTGGATGGAGGGTGGATGGTTCGAGGAAACCGCGAACAGAAATAATAGACCAACAACGGAGTCGTAATTACTACTCTTAATTGGGGTATAGATATACACAGGCTTTAAGGTAACCGGTGTTTAGCCGGTTGGTTATCCGGAATCCGGGCAAGAAGTAACTGTGTGCGAAGAGGTTAATAGTTAGCGCTTATCGGTTATCAGCGCTCGTCCATCGAATTTCTTCAGAATTCTCCCTCGTGCGGAGGTGGATAAAAAGAGTGGCGAGACAAGAGTAACGCGAATTGTTCGACAAACAAGGTTGCCTCGTAAATTCAAATCACAACCGAGGCTCCCTTCGAACCGGCCGATTCTCGAATCAACGAAACGTCGGTTGGGGGAGGGGAGGATTATCCGAAAACAAGGAACACAGTTGAACTCTAATTGGACTCTTTGCCAGGGGGTTTGACACGAAATTGCTCCGCGACGCGAGAGACACCGGGAGTGGAGGAGGAACGTTTAACGCCAGGTCCCGCCTCGAGAAATTGCAGTCGTTGCCATTTGATCCGTCTCGTTGCATTTAATCCGCGTCGCGAATGTCGTTACGCGGTGTCCTGACCAGAAGGGGGAGGGTGGGTGGTCAAATTGTTCGGAAGAGAAAATATCCAGGAGGGTGATTCCTTCCACTTTTAAAGTCGAGGTGAATCGCGAGCGCGTTTCGATCGATCCGTCCAACTGTCCAAGTCGATCGCGAAATCTTCTTGGAAACTTGGAACGTTATTATAGTAGGATTTGAATAACGGAGCTTCGGCTCTTCCTTCTCCTCTCTGTCGAGATTTCTAGAAATTTATCTAAACCGCATCCGGTTGGCGTTCGAAGGCGACACGGTTAAACTCTGTCGAACTCGAACAGGGATTCCCTCCCTCTCCCCCTCCGTGTGGAAAAAATTCGCCAACATTGGGGACTCGCATTGGGGGAACGGCATTGGCCGCGATTCGTAGGAGAATCGTGAGGAGCGTGGGGAAGGTTTTTATCCGGCAAAATGGTCCTGACACAGGCTGATCGTGCAGATCCTCCTCGCGCCGTGTCCACGAGAAAGCGTTGGATGGTTTTATTTTATTCGGCCGATAACGGCCACGACGTGACGGATGTAACGACGGACCAACGTCTCTGTTTCCAGATTCCATGGTGGGAGAGATGGTCGTCGAGGCCGGGAAGAACGTGACGCTGAATTGTCCCGGAGTGACGGAGAACTCTCTCATACTGATGCTCGAATGGCGGGTTAACAGTATGCAGTTGCTCGAGTACAGCAGCAACACCACGATAGTGTGGAACCATCAGAACAGGGTTTCGTTGTCGTTGAAGAACTACTCGCTCCAGTTTCATCCGGTCACAGCGCAGGACACCGGCGAGTACACTTGCTTGGTGAACAGTCGCAGCATGCCGGAAGCTGTCATCAGTCTCATAGTTCACGGTGAGTCCTCCTTCCTTCCTTTCTTCTCTTTTTTTTTCTTTTTTATTGCGTTTTCGAGATCGACTCAGATTTTGATTCGAACGCGACGTTGAAGAGATGCTTTAAAAAAAAAAAAAAAAAAAATAAGAAAGAAAAATTGTCGAGTCGAATTGGGTCGACGGGTAAATCGAACTGATATAAAATGCTATCGAAGCGAGGGTAGGGAGAGGATTAAATCGAAACGATATATTCACTCGTATAACACGAGCTCTTTTTTTCTCGTTGGGAAAAAAAATGAAGTCCATACGGATTGAAATGAACCGAGAATCGGGCAAATGTGCGCATCGTAAAAATAATCACGGAAAATCCCGGCAAGTCCCTCTATTTAGCCCGTCAGGATCGTCCCCCCCTCCTCCCTCTCTCTCTCTCTCTCTCTCTCGCGAGTAATTAAAAATTAACCCGGTCTCGCGTCCCTCGTCACTTGGCGCACCGTCAACGAGCCAAGCGGGTCGCTACATTTGCGTTTTAACCTTGATGCACCGTAATTCCTTCCTCGTTCTGCTTTAATGCTGCGCTCGTTCGAACACGCGAAATCGCGAGAAAAAAAAAAAGGCGAACAACAACGACACAAGCGTTACTCTGATGTTCGCTCTGATGTTTGAAAAACAACGCAGCGATGACCGAGCACGCAATAACGATCGACGATGATCTTCCTTCTTATTATTATGCAAGTGGAACGCGGCCGGGTCATGCGCCGAATTTTACCGGTCTTATTATTTTAAAGGGTCCTCCGAGAAAGAGTAGCCGCGTAACTAACGAAGGCAATTTTCGAGTGTTACCGCTGAGCCACCTCTGCCGCTCTCACCCCTGCGGTAGCCGAGCTCCTGGCAACTTCAATCCTCCCTCCCTCCCTCCCTCCCTCCCTTCCTTCCACGATATTGGATAAACTTGGGAGCCAGAGGGGGAGGGGGTTAAATTTCCGGCGTAATGTCAAGGCAATTTACATGGTCGTTCGATATAATCGGGCAAACTCTTGGCCATCGAAATTGTACACCGGCCGTTATCGAAAGGTTTTTCGATCTTTCGTCGTTGCGATCGAGTTACCACGGCGGCGCTCGAGAAGATTCCGATAAATCCTCCCTTCCGAGGAAAGGAAGGGACGACGACGCTTGTTTGGCGGAGGAGTCCCCTCCCCTCCCTCCTCTCTCTCTCTCTCTCTCTCTCGGCGAGTAATTAAAAATTAACCCGGTCTCGCGTCCCTCGTCACTTGGCGCACCGCCAACGAGCCAAGCGGGTCGCTACATTTGCGTTTTAACCTTGATGCACCGTAATTCCTTCCTCGTTCTGCTTTAATGCTGCGCTCGTTCGAACACGCGAAATCGCGAGAAAAAAAAAAGGCGAACAACAACGACACAAGCGTTACTCTGATGTTCGCTCTGATGTTTGAAAAACAACGCAGCGATGACCGAGCACGCAATAACGATCGACGATGATCTTCCTTCTTATTATTATGCAAGTGGAACGCGGCCGGGTCATGCGCCGAATTTTACCGGTCTTATTATTTTAAAGGGTCCTCCGAGAAAGAGTAGCCGCGTAACTAACGAAGGCAATTTTCGAGTGTTACCGCTGAGCCACCTCTGCCGCTCTCACCCCTGCGGTAGCCGAGCTCCTGGCAACTTCAATCCTCCCTCCCTCCCTCCCTCCCTCCCTTCCTTCCACGATATTGGATAAACTTGGGAGCCAGAGGGGGAGGGGGTTAAATTTCCGGCGTAATGTCAAGGCAATTTACATGGTCGTTCGATATAATCGGGCAAACTCTTGGCCATCGAAATTGTACACCGGCCGTTATCGAAAGGTTTTTCGATCTTTCGTCGTTGCGATCGAGTTACCACGGCGGCGCTCGAGAAGATTCCGATAAATCCTCCCTTCCGAGGAAAGGAAGGGACGACGACGCTTGTTTGGCGGAGGAAAAATCCCTCCCACCCCAAGTTGCGACCAAGTTAGCGCGCCAAACAACGCGTTTCCAACTTTGGAACGCGCTTCCTCTGTTTCTCCCCCCCCCCTCCCCTTGTTAAAAATGAAGAAAACTTTTCTTGCTCGCTTTCGGAGCGGACCTCTGCGCGCACGGGAACTCGCTACAAGTTGCTCGTCGACGACCTTCGAACCCCTTCGATCGAAACTGAAAATTCCCAGGAATTATCTCGAAACACCGTCCACGTTCTCCGCGTGGAGGGAAATTAATCGATCCTTCTCCCGCACAATGGTAATGGGCGTTCTTTTCTTCCGTTCTTCACCCAGTGTCTGGTAATTTGTGTTTATTGAATCGGTCCCCCGCGAAAGTTGGCCGAGTTTGTACAAACAGTTCGCGCGACGGTCGAAACAAAAGAGCCGAAAGGAGGGGAAATGGATCGGAAATGGAGGAGAAGGAAGAGAGAGAAAGAGAGAGGGTTAACGTCGTAACGCTTTATTTGAGACTCGAGTTTCTTCACTCGTCGCGAAGTGTTTGCACCAAGTATTTACGGCTGATTTGAATTCGTCACGTGTCACCCACCGCGTCAAAAGCTAACTTTTCCGCTCGTCCCATAGGCGCCGGAATCATGGGAGTTCTCGTTAAAACTTCGCCCCGCATAACTTGGCCGAAAGTTTTGCACGCGCGCGCACATCTGCCCCGAAAGACAGAGAAAAACGAGAGGAAGGTGGGAGAAAAAGGGAAAACGAGACCCCTATCGCGTTATGTCTCGATCATTTGCATTCAATGCACGAACCGCGACTCCATTTGAATAAGAAGTTTCCCGTGGTTGAAACGAACTGCTTCGAAAAAAGAAAAAAAAAAAAAAATAAATTCAATATTTTTCTCGTAGATTCTTTCTCCCGGGGGGTGATGCTTCGATGACCTTCTTCTCTTTTTCTCCTCCCTCTCTTCTTTTTCTTGATTTGGTTGAGCATGAAACGAGATAAATTTAAATCTCTGTGCGCTTTAAATCGCGACAACGGACCATTGGAATTTATACGAAGTCAGAATTCGGATTCTAGAATTTTCATACGTAAGAAACGTGAGCGGAAACAAAATATTTTCGTTGTCGAAACTCGTCCGAACTTCAGAGTATGGAGGAAATCGTGTCATTGAAATCGTTTTTCAATCGAGAATAATGTAGAATTCAAAAATATTCAGTAGTATTTATGATGCAGGAATTCGAATGGGTTTGCAATTTTTTCTTAGAAACGCGTACCACATTTTTCCAGAAGAATGTCACTTGTCTGAAATTGGATCAGTGAGAGGAGAGAAAACTGAGCAAGAGGAACCGTAGATGGCGATTAAAGCGATTAAAAAAATTACCCCTCCCTTTACACGACGACATATTTCAGGAAAGTCGTATTTGAGAAATCCAAGAAGAAAGCATTTTAAAAGTTGCGCGCTTCCAACGTGATCTCTCGCTCATTGACCGGAACTCGCTATCTTCGTAATTACAACGATCCAAAGTTTTTCTTGAATTTTAATACCGTTCAACGAAGTTTTAACGTTTTAACGTCGAAAGATTCGTCTATTCATAGAAAACTAATGCTTAACAACGATCTTAATAATAACTAAATTGATTTAAAAGTTATCCCCAATCGATCGATGGAAAAGTACGCAAAAGTTACGAGTAAAGAGGATATGCGCAGGAGAATCGTATCGAAAGACGAAAAAAGGGCGAAAGGCCCTTTTTGTTCGACCGAGTCAAGTCAATCGTCAACCGTGGAAAATTCGTATTCGACATGTAAACGCGAGGACGATAGGTGAGGAACGTACTTTCCCTCCCCGGCTCACTCCGGTTCCCGATTTCAAATACCTGCGCTCGGGATACCCCGCCTTTTATATCGTATATTCCGCACAGCGCGTGATACCGTCCGGAATTCCGGACACGTAGCGTTTCAACGGTAACCAATATCCGCGTTATATCAACCATTAAAATGAATATTTCTCGAGTCCATGCCGAGTGTGGATTCCGCGATGGCTCGTTTCCCGCCGGGAAACTACCTCATCCCCCATGATTTCTTCCCTCCCCAATCGTCATTGGGCGTGTGTTCGCCATCACCATCACCTTCGATGAATCCAACTTTCTTCTTCTTCTTCTTCTTCTTCTTCTATCTATCGTTCCACACGAATCCTCCGAGAAGTCATCGATGAAAGAACGATTAGGCGCCACTGGGACGAGAAGAAGACTGGGGAATCGATCGATAACCTGGTTCCATTCCATAATCAAAGACATGGATTTTCGCTTTTGGAATCCCGCTAGAAATTAATTCTACTTTTAGAGCTTTGTTCCACGCGACGGTATTTTTCTTTTCTCGTTTCTTTTCTCCCTCCCTCCCTCCCTCTTTTTTTCCCCTCCTTGGCTGGGAAGATAGATGGAACTTTTTATAGGTTTTTTCCGTTTTAAACTTTTATGAAACGTGGATACGTATACGTATAGGGGGAAGAAGAAGTGGTAAGCGGTATAACGGAAGAGGTGGTTCAGTGTCCTTGACGGTCTTTGGCGGTGGCCGATTATTTGGGCCGCTCGAAAAGTTGAGCCCCTTTAAGAGCGGGGCGTAAAAGGTTCCGCGGAACGGAACGGTTTCCTGTGATTTTTCAACCAGATTTTTCTGCTGGAAGTTAAATCAAATTCGCCAAAGCGAGTCTGCGCCAGGCACACAAGCGATACCCTCCTCCAAGCTTTGAAAAATTCTTCGTGTCATACGTTCCTTCGTGACATCGATGTCGTCCCCGTTTCTACCCTCGTCTCCGAAAGAACCTTATATCTTTTTCCTTCTTTTCTCGTACTCCACTTACGTCATTCGGCCCAGATTCGGGGACAGGTTACAAGCGCGATCGAGAAAGGGCCAAACATTTTGCCATTTTGCACGACGATCGCTTTTCAAATTTTAAATCGTTCGTAAAAGCGTTGCTTTCGACCAACATTCCAACAAGCGTGTTCGCGAATTAGAAAATGATTCGAAAAAGAAAAGGTTATGCGCAACATCTGGTACGACTCGTATTT